AAAATCATTTAAAAGTGTAATGATATTCAATTTAATTATCTATGTTAACAGAATTCTAAATACAAAAATAAACTACTTTTGCGCTTAGACACTTTGATGTGCGATCCGATGCCCGTATTTAGTGATGCGTTTTTTTTTAAACATCAAGTCCGAATGTACGAATTACGAACTTCCATTGTGAGGTTGCACGGGTTGATAATCTCTTTTCTGCCGACACAGTATGTCACCGGCAGTCATATGTTCCGATTTATCGGATCGGAACTCGAAATCGGAACTCTTTAATCTAGGACTTCAGTTACCAGAATACAATTGTGACTTCGACCACGATCCGCGTGGATATATATACATAGATGTACAATTCCCTGTTCACAAAGTTGGAGCCCAATAACTGCTCTACAGCGATAACAAATCACCATTCTTTTATATAGCCGGCAATTATAAAGAAGCAATCGAAGTTTTTCCCCTTACATATTATTATGACGGTGACTAGAATCCAGGCCGCGTTTGCCAGAAAGTACTAAGGATATTCCGGGATTCTTCAGTGGCCGAATCAATTGTAGTCACATTCAAAATTAGGCAATAGAATTGAAAAACAAAAAGGTTTTGTAGTACATTCATAATTTTTATTTATTCAATTTATAATATTCAGATATATAACAGCAATTATCATACACACACTACCTCTCCAACAATATTTACATTTTACAATAAGATATTTTGCGTTAAGCGTATTTCAAAACTTGTAGGTATATTATTAAAACTTTATTTTTAAATCAAAAAAACATTCGATATTTCAAATAAAAAAAAACTTCTTTGTGTACAGGTCTTAAACTTTAGTTTAGAAAGGAGTTTCTATTTATTATAAATTACATATCGCTTAACGTCAAAATATCTCGCATTCCTTATCTGGTCCTCACACTACAACGAGCTGAATTCTATATACTACAACTACAATTCATTTACAAAAAAAAAAAAAACGATTCACAACGCGCCATTAAATGGCGGCCGTAATTTTTTTTTAGATTATTTCTTCCTAAATTTTAAAGCGAATTTTTGCTATAATATCTGTAGCTACGTTTTTTTTTATTGTAGTAAGAATACAGGGTGTAAGGTAACCGTTCCCGAAAGCGGAAAGGGAATACGTGATGTATAACCTAAAGAAAAAACAGAATTTATTTAATAGCTAAATATAACTATTTTACGTTTTATTAATTTTAAATTTTGTCAAACAGGTTGCTTAAGTACGTACGTTATCGTACTAGAAATTACCAGAACTATTGTAAGAGAATTTTCGTTTTCGGAACAGTTCCCTTGAACCCTGTAAATTTCAAAAATTCTGATTTCAATTAGGCTCCATTTTAAAGTAGGCCCGTTGTATATTTATTGCATTTTATATGTAGTGATGCGGATAAATGAGTAAATTGATTACAATGATTAATTTTAAAAAGGATAATGTAATCTATATTTAAAAAAATTATAGATACCTAAAGTAATATGTAGCCCTTTAGGGATATAGTTAAAATAAAATTCAGAATTAGTTAAGAAATTAGCAACTTTAGTTTCGGGTGTAAGTAATCTGAATTTATTACTTTTTAATCGTTCCAAATATAAGCAGTTTAACTTAAATTTATTCTAAATAATTTCTGTAAAAGATTGTCATACGATTTTTTTATTTGGAATTTTTATTGGGTTTTCTAAAACTATCAGTCAATTTTTTGTTGTTTCATCCCGTGCTTTCAACGCTTAATATTGGTGATTTCAAACTATTGCAAATGTTACGTGATTTATGTAATTCTATTAAACTACCTCATAGTACCATATACTAGAATCACATAAATCACGTAACATTTTAGAAGAAACGAAAATATTACGCTTTCATTACCATTTGGAAATGTTTTCAAACCACAAATCTGCCAAAATATTTGACAGTATCACTTTAAGAGCAAGTTTATTATTATTTAGCGAGTAATTCAGTAGTATTGTTTTGAAATTGACACATTAAAATCATAGAATCATAAAAACAAAACAATTTCGCGGGAAAAAATATTCAATTAAATATCATCGTTTTTATCACATAAAACAATATCCGATTAAAAATATAACTTAAACCATATTATAAATAATATCCGTAATAACAATATGGCAACGTATTTACTAGCTAAGCACCTATTACTGTAGGTTTTTTTTAATTATTTACATAATCTATACAACACACCTTAAACACTATGGTCGTTATACTTTTTTATTTTGACGTGTTTAATTTACTGCCAGTTTTGCCAACAACATTAAGAGAGAAACATTGATTTAATTCAATAATAGCGTATTTAAAAACATGAATTTTATGAAACCACATCACCTGAGTAGAAGGTAATTAAATTCGTAGTTTATCAAAGTTTGATCCTGGATGAAATTGATTTTTTTAAATACGTAATTAGGTAGATGCGCCTTCAGCGGCTAAGGAATAAAAAAATAAATTGAAAACTGACAATGTAATCAGAGGGTTTTCGAAGTGAACGTGGATACTTCCAGCCGCCCTGTCTTTCTGCCGCGAAGCAATAATCCGGATTCAAGGATACTCGTTATTCAAATTCAGACTTCGACCGAGTAAGGCTTATCTAACTGTTTGCAATAATAAAAGTACTCTATATTGAACCTAAGATCCATAATGTAATTTATTACTACAACTCTTAAAGTTGGAATTATTAGCGTGACACAGCAATTTGTTTTAGTGAAAATATTGATTTATATTAAAATATATCTGCTTTCGGTTGCGTTTCGGCTTGAAGGGTGGGGCAGCCGTTGTAACTGTACTTGAGACCTTAAAACTTATATCTTAAGGTGGGTGCGCATTTATGTTGTAGATGTGTATGGGCTCCAGTAACCACTTAACACCAGGTGGGCTGTGATCTCGTCCATCCATCTAAGCAATAAAAAAATACTTTTTTAAATTGATTGCTTAGATGGGATAACTTACGGCCCAGATGATTCGAATGAGATATATAAATATAGACATGGACTTGAGACATGAGTTCTAAGGTCTCAGTTCAGTACAACGGCTGCCCCACCCTTCAAACTGAAACATTACTGCTTCACAGCAGGAATAGGCAGGGTGGTGGTATCTACCCGTGCGGGCTCACAATACACCCTACCACCATTAAAATCACCTACCACCACCACTTTTCATCCATATTGTTATATTTAGTAAGTACTCTAAAATAATAAAACCTTTCTCCGATAGCAGAGCAGTAATAAATAATGTAAGTAAATTATTATTGTATTAAATCAATGAAATCGCTTTTTCGTTTACAAAAAGAACGGTTATAGCTCTTGCTACATTTTCAAAAGATTATCTAATAATATGATAATTTATTAAAAAAAAAATTTACCTTATATTATCGATATGCAATATACAAGTTACAAACTTTGAAGTGTCTGTCGGCTAGATAAATGCATCGGATACGAGAATTTAATATGTATTTTATAGTTGAGTCCTTCCAGACGTAAGATCATTAGATCAAATACCTAATATTTATAATTTTAAAATTCCAATTTCGAACATGATTTTTGTTATGAAGGTCCAAAAGTCATTCGATTAATTTAAAACATCCCTAGTGCTGATATACTTTTAAAATTCAGATTTTGAAAATCATTTTAATGTACATTAAATAGTTAGCACAACTTAATTACTGTGAAACTATTTTCTTCATTAAAAAGATAATATTTTTGGACCAGCACAACACAATATTTTTTTCACATTTAAGTGTTAAGATTATCTACATATCTTTACAACAACGCAGAAAATATTCGGGACTAGTTAAACAATAGGACTTCTCGTCAAAGAGTCATTTTTTTCTCACATTTAATACATTAAGGAATAAATGTGAGTGATACAGATGTAAAGTCTTTTTATTATTCATGTAAACTTTAAAACCCATATCTAAGTAGCGTCTTTCGCAAAATTGTTTTCTCCTTTTTTTCATGATCGCAATTGGCACGTAACTCTTATTTGCATTCAAGTGACAAGCTTTTGCCGGTTGCCAATTTTTTCTTTTTTGTAATTTTATGGCCCGGTTACTAGACCTTTAAGCCAACGGTTGCCAATCAAACATCATCAGTGTTACCAACAAACAAAAAAATAGAGAATTTTATATTTTAGGTAATCAAAGTCTTCATGAATAATATCATTTTTTTTTTATTGCTAAATTAGAACTCAACGTTGAGTTAATTGTCTTTTATATTAATATCTTTTCCCTATAATTACATATTGATATATGCACTAGATTAATTCAACAATATATTTTCGAAATTTACTATGATGAATTATAACATGTATCGTGTACAGTATTAAAGTTTGTTGTAGACGTATTGATTAACCACTTTTTCAAAATATTTCAAATTCATAGACAAAATTAAAACACCCAAACAGGGGGATGCAGTCGAAACGTCAGAAAAATACAAAAATTCGGGGGAGTGCCTTTACTAATTTGCACGAATTTTCGAAGCTAAATTAAAATACAAACTGAATAAATTCTAGTAAAATGTAACACGAAAGACTGAATCACACACGATCACACTTCACACAAATGATATGCTTACGTGTCACAACACTAACGCTTTGAACATATTCAAGTACACAAACGCTGTTCACAGCTAACATAAAAATTTAACTGAATACATAATTGCTTTTAAAACAAAGCAGCAAGTATTAGTATTAAACTTTATCAAGTTTCATGGTAAAAGGAAATCAGAAATATCCTACTTCTCACAATCACTTAAAACATACTTTACCAAACTCACGAAATGCAAGCTACGTACCTACATTATCTGTGACGTCATATTATGGAATCAATGTTTTGTTGTTTGTTGAAAGAAAACTTGTAATTTTTTTTCTTATTGTAAGTTCTTGTAATTCATTTTGAAATTAATTTGTTGTTCTCAATGATTTGTAATTGTTTCTTGGTTTGGTTTGTTTCTTTTATTTGTTTTTATTGTAAGTCCTAGTTCATTTTCTATTTTTTTGTAATTTTAGTTTAAGCTGATGGCCGTGTTGCCAATGCTTTCAATAAATAAAATTGAAAAAATTATGGAATCAAAAGAAATATGTGTATTATCTATGGTTAGCTTGCTTTGCTTGAGCTAACCACATATCATACACCAAGACTACGTTAACTCACAATATGTGTTTTGAGCTATAGTTTGTAGCTTGACTGATTTGAACTATAATTTATTATTGTTTCACAAAAATAGTATGTACATATTTTTTTGGTTGTGTACGCGCGTACTATTGAGAACCGGCTGTGTGTTCGCGGATTCCTCGTGGCGACAATTGAGTTTATTTAGTAGATTAGTAATTGGCAACAGCGAGCTCGCGTTTGTGTACTTGTGTTGTCAGCATTTTAATTCCCAGTATACATTCTAGTGCCTGTGCTTATTACTATTCAGAAAGCGGGAAATTAGCCCGTCCTATGTAACGCATTGTCCAAAAGCAGCTAAGATCAGTGTTGCAAATATAACTGAGAGGAATGGTCGTGTGTTAGTGGCGGCTTGCGTTCGTTCAGTCGAAGAATACGTCGCGGAGCCTCCTCGATTCTCGCCGGCCATTGTTCTGCTCACTGTTTCCAAGGAAAAGCGCTTGATGTAATTAAATTCGATTTTAAAACACGGCGTGGTGCTATTCTAAACGAAACACCACGCATCCAAATGCCCAATGTAGTTTGCCAAATTACAGCGATTAATAAAAAGAGACGAATGTTGTCTAAAATATGCGAGAACAATTAAAATACAGCTGTTGAAATCGTTGATTGGTGTTTTTGCAATGGATGATTGAGTCAATAGACAATATTTTGTCGTTGTCAAACCAAAATCTATGTGCACTTTTTGAGACTTTTACTTTTTGACCTTTTCGTATAGTTCACAGCCCTATCTACCGTATAAAAAAAACTGTTATGTGTCTATAGCTTAAATATTTATCTATAACTTTCATTTGATATATAGTTCTTAAAAATTCACATTCATATAAAATGTTATATAATACGAAAATGTTTTTACTCGTTAAATCAAAACAGAGTTTTGGCACATAGCATATTATAGGCAGCGGCTTGGCTCTTCCCCTGGCATTGCTGAAGTCCATGGGCGACGGTAGTCACTCACCATTAGGTGGGCCGTTTGCTCGTCTACGTCTTTTTTATTGCCTACAAGGACAATAAAAAAAAATAGCAGACTGGTTTGACAGCGACGATTTGTAATCACGAACAATTATATAATAACAATTCCGCTTACCATCGTCGTCGGAGCCAGATCCCTCTTCACCTGAGCCCTCGGCGTCATAAGATCCGTCGTCTTCGGGATAACTTCGACCAGAGCCGGACCCTTCTTCGCCTGCCTCATCTCCCTGCATGAAAGCCTCAGCTTGCGCCCCCCCGGTCCCCGCGTGTGAGATCAGCAGCTGTGTAATGATACAGTATCGTGATTATGGCTTCATGTTATCATCACAGTGAAAATTGTATTTCAATGTTTTTTTTTTTTTTAATAAAAGTTCAGAGTTACCCATGCTACACATAGGAAAAGTACATGTCAAGACAAACGTCAAGCTGACTCAGTATACTGCAAAGAGTAATGTAATGTAACTCACGGAAAAAGTGCCAAATTGAAAAATTATTATTAAACTGTACATAACCTCACTGATTAATAGAATTCCCGAATGTTTTAAATTTAGATTCGTATTATTTTTGTTATCATGAACAAAAATTTTGTATTAAAACCAATTCTAGTTGCCAAGTGTTAAGAGAAAAAATAATTAATTATAAATTAGCTATTAAAATTATTTTGAATTAAAATCAACGAATGCGGATGTTAAATTTAGATCGAACACGTGGATGGAACATGGATACTTTTTCTTAAATGTCTCAGTGTCGAAGTGGTCCTTCCTTCTCTAGTCTGCTTCGACCTCCACAACGACCACTCATTTTTATTAGTTGTTCTCGTTAGTTTCATGATGCACACGAGATATTTGAGAACGGGTATATCTTAGTATTACATGTTACAGAATCTATGAACCGACAAAACAAAAATATACGCATATTGTAATGTTAATCGCGCCCTCTCCCGTTCGTTCGCTCTCACATCTCAGACAGTGACTTGCGCGCAGACTACGAACAAATCTCAATCCTTCTCTATGGTGCTGAGACGTGGACCCTGAAATCAGCTGATCACCACCGCATTGATGCCTTCGAGACGTGGTGCTGGACGAAGACGCTACGTTTCCCGTGGACAGCATATCGGACTAACGCATCCATATTAAGACAGCTCAATATCCAAACCAGGCTCTTTACTATCTGCCTCAAGAGGATATTTGAGTCACATTTCGAGAAAAAGCAGTGACAAACTTGAAAAATTGTTAGTAAGCGGCAAGATTGCAGGCAAAAGATCTCGTGGCCGCAATCCAATGCGTTGGTCTGACCGAATCCGCACCACAGTCTATGATGCCATACACACCGCCGAGAACAGAGCAAGATAGCGAAACATCATCCAGAGAAGGATAATGGGAGGAGATGGTTCCGGTCTGTAATGTAACTAGGAGTAGTAGCTCACAAGCCACTAACACCAACAAAACTGTAAACTGGGCAATGAAAATTCTACGACTCTGGCGTTGTGCTCCTACGTTGAGAGACGAAATAAGATGAAACTAGAAAAAAGGTACATAGTATTTCCAGTTGAAAAAAAAAACAAGCTCCGTTTAGTTAGATCATTATGATTGACGTCCATTCTGTTGTAGTCTTCGCTGATTTCTCGCCTAGACAAAGACAATCCTAGTTTGTTAAATATAGCTTGATACGCGGTAGTGTTGGCAAAGTGATATGTGATATATGAGTCGTCTATTATCAAAGGTGGCAATCTGTGCATTTGGACAAAAAAATGTTATTGATATGTCAATACAGATTGATTTGAATATAATCGTCTCCTTCGAAGAATACGGTTCAAAACCTGCATTAAATAAAGGTTAATACTTAACCTGTTATTTATCTAAGATGTCGTTCAGAAGAGTTTTGTGACTGCCAATGGAATACAAAGTCAATAATTCGTTTTTCTGATTTACCAATAATTGTCCAAAAGTCACATTGCCGGCTTTGATAATAGTCGACTCATATTAGGTTGGGTTCAAATGAAATTTAACATCGAACAGTTTTCAAAAAATTATACTCAAAATCAATTTGATAATCGATCTTCGTACCTAGTTGCAATTTATTAAACAAACTATTAATAAATATTAATAGCAATCGAGAAAGTCTATATCGTCGTTGCAAATTTAAAATCTATTTGACATATTGGGTCAAAATGATGTTTTCATATATTATGAAGGTTATTTTGAATAATTTTTTTTATTGCTCAGATGGGTGGACGAGCTCACAGCCCACCTGATGTAAAGTGGTTACTGGAGCCCATAGACATCTTCAACGTAAATACGCCATCCACCTTGAGATATAAGCTCTAAGGTCTCAGGTATAGTTACAACGGCTGCTCCACCCTTCAAACCGAAACCCATTACTGTTTCACGACAGAAATAGGCAGGGTGGTGGTACCTACCCGGGCGGACTCACAAGAGGTCCTACCACCAGCCTATAGCCTAATACCAACACTCAGCGTATATTATTACGCATCAATCTTAAGAAAATCCTAAGCGTCGGTTTGCATTTTATTGTAGATCAAAAGTATCCTCTATGCTAAAAAATTATTAAGTGCATTTTTTTTTTTTCGGAAGGTAATTTTATTAGATTTTCTCGAAAACTACATTTATACATATAGAAGATTTCAAATTTGCGACGACGATATCTACTCTTAGTATTGGGGATATTGACTAAACTCTTAACGTAAACATGTCATTGCAAAACGCATATTAAAGTTTCTATCTAACGTGACCGATTTGAATTTTAAATTTTCTAAAGATATCCTGAAGTACTCGAATGCATAAGCAAAAACAATTTATTTCCTAAGCAGCTTTCATTACTACGTGTCCCGAGCCTGAATCAGTGGCACCCAAACTTTTTTGTCACCTCGATTGAAAGAACTGTTCTAACTTATATCAATTTCTTTTTTACTATACCACGACTCATTTGGAGTACATCACGTTCTAGAAATCTCCTCGGCGCAATATCGTAACTCATTGTAAGCGACGCCAAAAGAGATGTTTACAGTAGGTGCCTTGGTAGCGGCCAGAGCCGTAGTAACTGAGTAATAAAGGCTGTTGTTGGTATTCAGGAGTAATCCCAACCGCTTATCATAAAAGCTGAGCTATACTCGTCTCTCTTAAACAGCAATATGTGAGTGATGAAACTAACGTAACGGTTCATTTGAAAATTCCGAAAATCAATCAAATTGATACTATCTACAATTTGAGGAGCACTGGTTTTACGTCGTTAAGGACCAGACCAGTTCAAAAGCACTTAGGGTTTGTATGGAAGATTAATATCAGAGACACATCGTTAAATGAATGTTTCATATCTAAAGGCATGAGCTTCGGTTTTATCTTATCTTTTGCATTATACTTTCGTTTTATGATGCATCGCCTCTTATCTGATGGGAACTGTGAATTACATGAATATTTAAACTGAGTAAAGCAAACACTCGTGTGTTCTTTAAGTCTTTGTTACATATTTAAAAATAACTGTCCTATCTTATTATTTCTACTAGATGATGACAGAGCTTTGCTCGGTTTTTTTTTTGATAACGCCATCTTGTTGTGTCTTTAAAGCAGTTAGTTGCCCTGAATTAAGAAAAATAGTATTATTATTCGCCAATAGATGCCGGGAAGAGTTGATTATTGAAAACACGAATAAAACAACATTTTCTGAAAATAAATCGTAGCTAGATCGATTTATCGCCCCCGAAATCCTCCGTATACTAAATTTTATGAAAATCGTTAGAGCCGTTTCCGAGATTCAGACATATATTTTAATTTACAAGAATTGCTCGTTTAAAGGTGTAAGATAAGATAATTTTATAAATTCCTTAACGTGCATTTCAAATTCATAACTTTGTTGTAAATTCTGGATGTTTCAACATATGTTATATAAGATCAAATTATTCATTAAAAAAATAATAGAGGTGGGTGACATTTGTATAGTTTTATAATATTTTTGTGCATTAGATTGCTATCTCTGACTGACTCAATTTAAATGGTCACATCCATATAAGTTTCTCGTCGGATCTTCGCCGGATTTCGTCGATGGTAGATTCTGCGCAGCACTGCTATTGCTAGGGCTAGTATTAGCAAATTCAGATTGAGATCGTGAGCTCAACTACCAGCGAATAGGTAGATCAAAATATATATTATGTCACCAGCCATCTTGACACATGAGGCATAACAAAAATCTAATATTAAAAAAAAAGACATGTCCGCTGAGTTTCTTGCCAGTTCTTCTCAGGACGGAAGCTAGTTTTTGTGAATTGGCGGTAGTTCTTTTACAAGTATGTACATTCATTTATGTTGAATAAAAAAAAATTTTTTTTGATTTGAGGTCGAAGCCTCTATCTATTGTATTGTACATCGATTGCACAACTCTTAAGCCGGTATGCACTCTTTGCGGCAGAAATGGACACAATGGCGTTAGGTACTTATCATTAAAATTAATATGCTTGACAATAAATTAAATTTTCATATAAATTTACCTGTCTGGCTTGCTGCAGTCTATCGGCAATGTTAAGAAGACGCGGGTCCTGTGGTGGGTTCAGTGTGATCTCAGGATTATACTTCTGGTTGTTAAGTGTCGATGAAGGCACCAATGGTTTCGTGTATCTGTGTACCAAAATCAATTATTTAAGTTTGTATAGCCGATAACGAATTTAGCGTAATGTTTCAAGCTGAAGAATTTTATAAATTTTCATTGAGTCATAATCTAATTTTTTTTTTTTTATTGCTTAGATGGGTGGACGAGCTCGCAGCCCACCTGGTGTTAGGTACTGGAGCCCATAGACATCTACGACGCAAATGCGCCATCCACCTTGAGATATAAGTTCTAAGCTCTCAAGTATAGTTACAACGGCTGCCCCACCCTTCAAACCGAAACGCATTATTGCTTCACGGCAGAAATAGGCAGGGCGGTGGTACCTACCTGCGCGGACTCACAAGAGGTCCTACCACCAGTATAAAATCGATTTCATCATAACAAATGTTACAGGAATCACAAATTAGAGGTGATAATCGAAAAACGACAAGGATTTGCTTTTTAGATCTGTAGTTACTAAAAAACCATGCGTATTTTAGGTAATTTAGCATCGTATTGTTAACCAACAAATTGCAATAGAAACATGGGTCAGGAACAGTATATTCGCAGGCTTATAAACATTACTCACTCGCCAATGGCCTGTCCGTTCCAACAGTGTTCATTGACGTCATCAACGAAGTCGGTCTCGTCACACAGCCTGTCCGCGACAGTGCTGAACAGCCTCTTTGTGGAAGCGAGGGTCGCTGCAAATTGGAGAAGCTCCGTGTCCGGAGGCGGCGCTCGGAAGTCGTCTCGTCTCACTGAACCAGGTGTGGGTGGGGCCGGCGTGAGGCCGGAGTCCACAGTCGACGGAGGACCACATTCTTGACGTACCTAGAATCAATCATTTCGCTGCACAAAAATAGTATTTTTCTCCTGTGATTTTTTATTTATTTATTTTTTATCGCCCTTGTAGGCAGACGAGCATACGGCCCACCTGATGGTGAGTGGTTACCGTCGCCCATGGACTTCAGCAATGCCAGGGGTAGAGCCAAGTCGCTGCATACTTATTTTTCTGCATTCATTTGCAATTTTGTCATGTTATATTTTCAACGTTTTATCAAAACGTTTTATAGTTGCGGATAAAGAGACAAGCGGTTCTTGTACCGACACAAAGCACCCAGATTAATGATCTCGTAATGAAACTGCAGAGGGCAGTGCGCAACCAAAGAGGAATGCAATGTCGCTTAGCAAATGGCGCACACACTAGATCGTATCGCTATTCAGCAGATGGCGATAAGTCGCGGTGTTGTACAAACGTTGATGCCATGTCGTTTGTTACTGCACTGTCAGTGTTTATTCACAAGTTCGGCAAATAGGGGTATGCAAAAATTCACATAATGTGCCCACAAACAAATCTAATACGTACATTAAATGTTACTAGAGGTCCCGCAGTAGTCGAAATTCGACTATAATTAATTGGAATTGTAAGTTTGTACACTATTATGATTGTATTTTATACTTCACAAATTCACAAATTTCGCCAAGACTACACTATAAAAAATATTAACAACGACAAACAATATTTAATCTATTCTCAATTTGACCACAGACGTCAAGAACAAAAGTTTGACAATAAATAGTATGCATGCGTGTGTGCGTCAAATACATGGTATGTAGTGTGTGTTATGTTTTCTTTATTGATTTAATGTATCTTTTATGCATTATTTTAAAAAAATATTAGCATTGTGCACTTCTTCTCTATATTCTCTATAAGTGTGGAAAATTTCATACTCCTCCGTCCGCGCAATTTTCGTAAAAAGGGATACAAAGTTTTTGCTTCACGTATTAATATATAGATTATCGATCTCTAAGCTAATCTGATATAATAATTTACAACCAAAAGTCGTAAACGCCAACTATTGAGTGTTTCAAAATAAATCCATATAAACGATTCTCGGTTAGCATTGATATTTCATCTCATTTCAATGCAGCATCTCAGAGTTTGAACGCAGGAATTGCATCTGAATTCCTCTACATTAATATTAATGAGTGAGGTCAGATCTGTGCCGTTGCATATTCTATTAAAACGCACGCACCCGGTGTGAACGTTCGCGGCGACGCGCGACCAACGCAAATAAACCGCCACAAGCGAGCACTCAGAGATCGAGCCCGACACAAATAGGCGCATAGTTTCATAGCGATTACTGCGAATAACTTACAGCATTCCTTGTACCGTCTCCCTAATAGTTAAGGAAAAGATCGACGATCGTTTCAAACAGCGCATTCTGTAAAGATGACATTTAAAAAAAGAAAAAAAACAGAGGTTTGTGGAACGAAGCTCCTTATGGGACGATGCGGAGGGATACCCTAACCGAGAAAAAACGTCCGTAACGTAAGATTTTTATTAGTAATGCACACAGTGTACGACTTAACTTTGTAATAACATACAAAAAATAGCATATTTTTTTTCATTCATTGACCACGATCTCAGAGCGTTAGTTTGCGCAATACACTAACTGTTATGCAAACAACCGTGAATGAAGTGTACCACAATAAGTTTGCACGTTACCGAATGACCGTGGGTTGTTGCGAAACCTCCAGTTTTATTTTCTTTATACCTCGAATAGAATTTAAAATTAATATTTTTATAATAAGGAACTTCGTTCCTATCCGGTGTACCACGACACCACACATCTTTTTTTTTGCTCAATGCGCCTTTTTGTGAAAACCGTTTGCAGAAGTAATTAATGAAAATACGTACAGCAACTAAATTTTTAACAAAATGATTAAGTATAATATACTCATTATATACTCTCAAGTATAATATACTCTCAAGTGTAAATATACTCATTTCGTTTAAATATGCCTTCTGTCTTTCTAATCGGGTGGGAAGGGCAGATGTTAAATGGTAGAAAAATGATTCGGATTGAGGTTAATGACATCAATATTATCATAATGCGGGCATGCGCGAAATGTAGAAAGGATTTCATTATCCGGTCTTTTCTGAAAATACCTAACCTTAAATTACTTATCTGTACAATCATTTGGCAATTACTTTTGATGAAAAATAAGAAGAGATATATTTTGAATGATATGCGTTTTTTTTTTATTGCTTGGATGGGTGGACGAACTCACAGCCCACCTGATGTTAAGTGGTTACTGGAGCCCATGGACATCTACGACGTAAATGCGCCACTCACCTTGAGATATAAGTTGTAAGATCTCAGTATAGTTACAACGGCTGCCCCACCCTTCAAACCGAAACGCATTACTGCTTCACGGCGGAAATAGGCAGGGCGGTGGTACCTACCCGCGCGGACTCACAAGAGGTCCTACCACCAGTATACCTACCACCAGTTCTTTCGTATAACCATTTTTAATTAAACAAATTACGGAACTCCCTTTTGCTTTCGCATTTAATTTCAATAGTTTTCTATCAATCTAAAGCGTCATTGTTAAATTTTGACCGCTTGTCGTTTCGAACGTTTTTGTCTAGAATAGTCTAGATTTATTACACCGTAATTCGCTGCGTAAGTCACAAGCGAAGTTCTACGAAAGTTGGTTCGTTGATTTATATTTCCTTAAAGGAGTTGAGGAACTATTTTGATTCGTGTGGCGGGGGAACTTTTATTACGTTTGTGACATCTGCCGCCACGTGAAATGTGGGGAGTCGATTACTTCTGAAGTACGATAAAATCGCGTTCCTCTTTCGATGGCGTACGAAATAATTCAAACTTCTAAAGTGAATCTTGATTAAATCACCTTGTGCGTATAACTAGATGATGACCGAGCTATGCTCGTTTTTTTTCTTTTTGATAACGCCATCTTGATTAGTTGCCCAAAATTAAGAAAAATAGTATTATTATTCGCCAATAGATGTCGGGAAGAGTTGATTATTGAAAACACGAATAAAACAACATTTTCTGAAAATAAATCGTAGCTAGATCGATTTATCGCCCCCGAAATCCCCTGTAGGTATACTAAATTTTATGAAAATCGTTGGAGCCGTTTCGGAGATTCAGATTATATATAATAATCTAGTCAGTAAAGCTGAAAATCTTGACAAATTTGGCGATTCCCTTCCAATATTCAGGAACAAAATTATAAAAAGTTGTTGTTGAGCCTCAGCCTCAGCCTTGGTCTGAGTACTCGGGTATTCCTGTCCTTGTTGTCTTTCTACTGTTTTTTTTTTGCTATTATTAGTATTGTTAAATCTCTGTTGATATATTAATGTAATGCATGCTGTGATTGCCTCTAATTAGAGTTGCAGTTATCAATTGCTTTATACATGTCAATGATATTTTATGTCTAACTGTAAACCCTGTTGGTAATCCTTAAATAAATAAATAATCTAATCTAGGCAGTTTTTAAGGTTACACGCAAGATCGGAAAGCGTGATAGCTGCGGTATGTCTTACAAAAAAAAACCTTTAATTTAATGTGCTAATTATTTTTTATCCGACAAACGCTGCGTTCTAAAGGCACCGATGACTGTGAACAGTAAATATTCATTAAAAGCCTACGTTTGCACGACCGAAACCGGATAACTCCGCCTTCAACAACAATGAGCCTGCAAAAAAACGTCTGGCTTCGAGTCGCGCTTATGCCGCCCGTGCCGGTGTGGCCAAGTAATTACAGTACAAGAAACCAGGATAATGCAATGTTATACAACCACCTTCGACGGCCTTATTAACATACACGTAAAATTATCGCGTCCTAAACAAGTATTTCTTTGAGCTCGGAATGTTTTAATTGATGTTGGGTTTCTTTTGAGACTCGTATGTGACATGAAGCTTCATGATAGTGGGATGTGTTGTAATTTTTTATTTTTTATTAGCGACCCGCCCTCGCTTCGCTTCGGAAACTGTAATTTATTATTGATTTCTCCACTATTTAATGGATGTTATTATACATATAAACCTTCCTCTTCAATCACTCTATCTATTAAAAAAAAACCGCATCAAAATCCGTTGCGTAGTTTTAAAGATTTAAGCATACATAGGGACATAGAAAGCGACTTTGTTTTATACTATGTTGTGATTGTATAGATGGTTGGACGAGCTCACGGCCCATGGTTACTGGAGCCCATAGACATCCATAACGTAAATGTGCCACCCACCTTGAGATATAAGGTTGACTCAAGGTCTCAAGTATACTTACAACGGCTGCCCCACCCTTCAAACCGAAACGCATTACTGCTTCACGGCAGAAATAGGTAGGGTGGTGGTAGTCCGCACGGGTAGCATGCGGACTCACAAGAGGTCCTACCACCAGTAATTACGCAAATTACAATTTTTGTGGGTTTGATTTTTATTACACGATGTTATTCCTTCAGCGTGGAAGTCAATCGTGAACATTTGTTAAGTACGTCTTTCATTAGAAAAATTGGTACCCGCCGGCGGACCATTGTGATTGCGACTTGGACACGGCAGAGCATACGCTCGTCGCCTGCCCCGCATGGGAGGGGTGGCGCCGTGTCCTCGTCGCAAAAATAGGAAACGACTTGTCGTTGCCGAGTGTTGTGGCATCGATGCTCGGCGACGACGAGTCGTGGAAGGCGATGCTCGACTTCTGCGAGTGCACCATCTCGCAGAAGGAGGCGGCGGGGCGCGTGAGAGACGCACAATCCCGCCGCCGTCGAGCGGGGGCCAGGGAGGCGGATCTCGCCCAAGCCCTGGCCCTCTAAGTGTTTCGGGTCCCCCTCACATGTCGGTCTGGGGACCGGCGAGGGGGGCCTAAGAAGACGACGTGCAAGCTGCTCTGCACGCGTTTTACGCAAGAGCATCCGGGTGATGGAAGGCCGGCTATCCTCGACCCACGCTGGTTCTGGCCCAGCGGGGTATTCCGTAGGGTAACCCACTCTAACCGGCGCCATCTAGGCGGGCTTCGGAC